AAGTTACCGCGGGATATTATGATGAAGAGAGCGGTGATTAACGTGCAATCAAAGGACAATGCATGTTTCGCGTGGGCAGTGGTCGCCGCTCTGTATCCCGCCGAAAGTCACGCGGAACAGGAATCATCGTACCCGCATTACGCGACAGTGTTGAATCTCCGGGACATTGAGTTTCCAGTGACTGTAAATCAAATTAAAAAGTTTGAACTTACAAATGACATTTCCATAAATGTGTACGACATCGAAGACAAGAACATTGTTCCGATACGTCTTTCGCAGCAGAAACGGGACAAGCATGTGAATCTGCTATACGTGGAAGACGGTAACAACAACGTGGGACATTTCGCGTGGATCAAGAATCTATCCCGACTAGTGAGCTCGCAACTGAGCAAAAAAGATCACAAGAAATTTATCTGCGATCGATAAGTTTATTTTATATTATTTGAATAATTATAGGTTATACACTTTGTTACATAAATCTTAATTAAAATTTTTCTTTTTACAGATGTCTACATTATTTTGGTTCGGACGACAAGTTGCAGTCGCATACGGTCGACTGTGGAAAGCTAAACGACTGCGCTGTCCGATTGCCGAGCGACAAGGACAAGTGGCTCGAATTCAGCAACCCTAATCGAAAGGAGCGGCTTCCATTCGTCGTGTACGCCGACTTGGAATGCGTCCTGGCCAAGAAGGAAGAAGAGAAATTATATCAACATCATCATCAAGTATTTAGCATAGCTTACTATGTATTACATTGCTCGTTCGACAAATCTTTATCGGCGTATCATTCGCGTCGTAGCGCCGATTGTATAGCATGGTTCGTTAAAGATCTTAAAAATTTGGCATTACGCGTAAAAAATATTTTAAAAACAAATGTCCCCATGGTAGATTTGACGTTCAAAGAACGGAAAAAATTTTATCACGTTACTCAATGTCACATATGCGAAAAACCGCTCGCGCAAAACGATACACGCGTTCGCGATCATTGCCATCTGACCGGACGGTACAGAGGTCCTGCACATTCAAATTGTAATCTAAATTATAAAGATTCTTTTTTGCATTCCGATAGTTTTTCATAATTTATCCGGTTACGATTCTCATTTTATCATCGAGGAAATAGCCACAGCGTTCGAAGGGAAAATCGAGTTATTGCCGATAACCAAGGAAAAATATATTTCATTTACTAAAAGTGTTGATTTTAAAGAAGAATCAAAAAATCAAATAAAATTACGTTTCATCGATTCATACAAATTTCTCGCATCGAGTCTCGATAAATTGGCATCATTTTTGGCAAAGATAAACTCAAAATTTTTAAATCGGAATTTCAAAATTTATCTGCCGAAAATTTCAATTTGTTAACGCGAAAAGGTGTATTTCCATAAGAATACATCGATTCCATTGACAGGTTGCACGATATGTGCTTACTACCGCGCGAACCGTTTTACAGTTCCTTGACCGGTGAAACTGTATCCGAGAGCGATTACGCACACGCCGAGAACGTCTGGACGCGGTTCTCCATTCGGACGCTGGGTAAATATAGCGACTTGTACCTCAAAATTGATGTCTTATTATTAGCCGACATTTTCGAAAACTTTCGAGATAAATGTATCCAAAGTTACGGACTCGACCCCGCGTATTACTATACTCTCCCCGGATACACGTGGGACGCCATGTTGAAACATACAAAGATTAGTTCGAGCTGCTTACGGATATCGACATGGTTATGTTCATCGAACGTGGTATACGCGGTGGTCTAAGTCAATGTTCCAACAGATACGCTCGCGCTAATAACAAGTACATGGAGTCGTACGATCCATCGAAACCATCGTCGTACTTGATGTATTTTGACGTTAATAATTTATACGGATGGGCAATGTGTCAACCGTTGCGCTATGCCGATTTTCGATGGGTCGACGACGTGTCAAATTTTGACGCGTCATCTATCGCGCTAGATTCCCCTACAGGCTATATCCTCGAAGTCGATCTCGAATACCCGCGACATCTTCACGATACGCACATTGACCTACCGTTTTGTCCAACAAGCCGCCCGGTAAGCGGGAATTCAAACTGCTTGCAACATTATACGATAAGAAGCGTTACGTGATATACTACCGTAACCTACAGCAGTGTACGCGTCACGGCCTTCGTGTAACAAAAATACATCGCGTATTACAATTTACGCAATCTCCATGGCTTCGAAATTACATAGAATTAAATACACATTTCAGAACATTGGCTAAAAATGATTTCGAAAAAAATTTATATAAATTAATAAATAATGCTGTGTTTGGTAAAACGATGGAAAATGTGCGTAATCGTGTAGATGTAAAATTATTAACAATATGGGATGGCCAGTACGGTGCAGAAGCGATGATCGCGAAACCAAATTTCTACAGCAGAAGCGTTTTTTTCAGAAAATTTAATCGCTGTGGAATTGCGTAAACTCGAGGTGAAATTCTACAAGCCGATTTACGTGGGTATGTGCATACTCGACATATCCAAGACATGTTTGTATGAATTTCATCACGAGTACATGTCTCCTCTGTATCGTGATAAATGTAAGATTATTATACCGACACAGATANACCCCGCGCTTCCCTAATCGCGGCCGCGCCAGACCGAAAGCGGTCGGCCAGGCGGGCACTTCTCCTCACTACGTCAGAAATTTTATTTTGATACCCATATTAGTCCCACGAGTATGGTGGAAGAGGTGGTCGGCCGACGTAGAGCCACCTTTACGCCGCTAAGCCTAAATACGCCGGGAGGACGGCAGGTATCCCGGGACGGACCGTTAGCGATCGCGACATTTTGCGTCTACGCGACCATGCAGACCCTAAGCACGGTTCCTACACCTTGGTCTTCAGACCTCTGCGGACCGACCGCGACGCAAGCGACCACGACGACGACGACGACCTAACGACGCCTATCGACGAGCCACCGACGGCACAACCGAACCCGAAAAATTCCGAAGGAAGCCGATTCTCCTCAAGACGAGTCCGATTTCCGGCTGTCGAGAAGTTTTCGGCTGTGATCCGATGACATCCTCAAGGGAGAAGAAAGGGAGGAGAAAAGGGAAAGAGAAAGGGAAAGAATGCCGTTTTTAGGGGCATTCCTTTATCGCCACATAAGAGCCATTTGGTCAGCAGAGCTGACACCGACTCGTGGCTCTGCAGTGCTGCCGATTCTCCTCAAGACAAGTCCGATTCACGGCTGTCGAGAAGCCTTCGGCTCCTCAAGACGAGTCCGGTTTTCGGTTGTCGAGAAAGTTTTCGGCTATATGCTGACTATCCCCGAAGGGAGAAGGAAAAAGGAAATAAGGGAAAGAATGCCGTTTTTAAGGGCATTTTGTTAGTGCCACATAAGAGCCATTTGGTCAGCAGAGCTGACACCGACTCGTGGCTATGCAGTGCTGCCGATTCTCCTCAAGACAAGTCCGATTCACGGCTGTCGAGAGGCCTTCGGCTCCTCAAGACGAGTCCGGTTTTCGGTTGTCGAGAAAGTTTTCGGCTGTGTGCTGACTGATCCCCGAAGGGAGAAGGAAAAAGGAAAAGGAAGGGAAGAATGCCGTTTTTAGGGGCATTCTGTTAGTACCACATAGGAGCCATTTGGCCAGCAGAGCTGGCACCGACTCGTGGCTATGCTGTGTTGCCGATTCTCCTCCTCAAGACAAGTCCGATTCACGGCTGTCGAGAAAGTTTCGGCTGTATTCTGACTATCCCCGAAGGGAAAGGAAAGGGAAAGAAGAGAAAACCTGAAAATAAAACCTGAAAATAAATAAGAGATTATTCACACACACACACGCACACACACACACACACACACACACACACACACACACACGCGCGCGCGCGCGCGCGCGCACACACTCACATTCACACGTGGGAGTCACTGGGATCGGGTTGATCCTCGCCTCTGCCCCGGCGGGTGACTGAGTCACCCATCCAGTCCTTCGGGCGAGGGACCCGACCGGCTCCCACTTTTCCCCACTGAGGGACGCTTCACGGCGGGAGCACCCACCGATCTGCCACCTCATCCCACGGGAGCACCCGTTCAAGTCACGGGCGGAGAGCTAGGCTCCCCCTGCAGTGCCGTGCCACTGGGCGATTGAAGTCAGGGCCGCCAACCCCTTCCAGCGAACGAGACTGGCCCGCGGCAGCAGACCTCGTCTCTATGGAGTCGCTGGGCTCCATCTGTACCCACAAGGGTACCGTGCTATTTTAAAGCGGGCGCCACCCCGAAGAAAGAAGAATGGGAAACCTAACCGGGGGACAATGGGTCAAGGAAGAAGGATGGAAAGTATAGGATAGGCGGGAAGAAAGAATGGGCTGGGTGTTCTTCCACCCGTAACCAGCCCCATTGTGCCGGGTTTGTAATCAGGGTTTTCCTTCCCCTATCCGCATTAGGCCCTAGGCCCAGAGGGAGCGGAATCCCCCCCCCCTTCTCATGGTGTCCGCCACGGCGACTTTTTTTTTTTTTTTTACCATACGGGGAGGGAGGTGGAAATGCATTGACGCAGACCCATGGGGGTCCAGCCCCATGGGTACTGCTGGACTCCGTGAGAGATAATTCCTCTCCCGACTACCAGCTAAAACCACCCCCCGACCTGCAATGCAGACCTCCTTGTGGTTATCCTCAGAGAAATGGGGGAACTGTCACTGCATTACTTCTCCATTTCTCTACACCCAGCACCATGTGCTTCTCCTCTTTCTCCTTTCTGTCCTCCTCAGCCAATAATTATCCTATGTCCTAAATGTAGTCCATCTCTAGGTAAGTATATAGATAAGTATATATATACATTTGTCTTAAGTAAGTAAGTAGATATATATACATAAATGTACATAAATAAAGTCCATCTCTAGTTAGGTAAGTATGTAGGTAAGTATGTAGGTAAGTAGATAGGTAAGTGCATGTATGTGGTGTGTGTGTGTGGTGTGTGTATGTGTGTATGTATGTATGTATGTATGTGTACTATTATGTTTATACGTTGCTCTTTCTCTAATCTATTCCTCGATCATTAGTATGTCTCTATCTTTCCCTAATTCTCTCGAGCTCTTCCTTTGTTTTATTACAGTTTGCACGTAACTATTTACACTTTTCCATTTATCTTTGTTTTGACATATTTCAGAGATAATATTCCTCCAGGTAAGTTGGCATTTCATCGTAGCTAGGAGCTGCTCTCTCTCAGCATGCCAAGCTAGGCACTCTACCATGGTGTGGTTAGCTGTATCCTCCTTTGCATTCCAAGAAGACGATCCCACACATTGTAAGCAATTACTGTTGTCCTCTTTACCGATTTTGTGGAGGAATGCTCGAAAACAGCCATGTCCACTCAACATTTGTGTCACCCTATAGTTAATTGCTCCATGATTTCTATTCAGCCACTCTTCCAAATGTTCACATATGGCTCTTCTAGCTGGATTGTTACTACCAGCGATAGTAGGACTTTGTCGAATAGAATTTTTCCATTTCGTCATCAGGGAGTCATCTTCTTCTTTCCTAATTCGTTTCTCCGTTGCTCTATCCAGCGTACCATCTAAGATGTGCTGTTTGATGCGCCAGTAGGTTTCCATATACTTTTCGGATAATAGTGTCCACGGTGGAGTGCGGGCAAGTAGTATCGCTATGTCGTATGCAACGGTACGATACTTCGCGATGATCCGTACCGCGACCAGTCTCTGCACCTGCCTCAATGGTCTTTGGAGGCTTTTGACCTTTGACAGTCTCTCTCCCCATATTAGGGAACCATATAGCACGATGAATTGCACTACGTTCCCGTACAGTTTCCTTTTCGCTCGCACGGACCTCTCAAATTTGGCATTAGTCGACATAATGCTTTGCATACCTTACTCGCCTTTTTTGTAGCATATCTTATATGTTCCTCGTATGTAAGTTTGGAATCTAACATGATTCCCAAATATTTCATTTCGGACATGATCTTAATATCTACTCCGTTAATTCTTATACAGAATTCGGTGGAGGAGCCTTCTTTTTCCTACGATAAAACGCAACAGCATGCGTTTTTGGTAGTGCTACTTCTAGTACTAATGATGTAATCCTTTCCAGGACTCTTTCCACCATTATCACTGCTTTCGTTTTAGCAGATTCAAAGTTATCTGCCCTCGCAGTGATAATGGTATCATCCGCGTAGCAAACAACCTCCGTGTCCGGTAACTTGTCTACCCGCAGTATACCATCATAGGTTATATTCCATAAAAAAGGCCCTACAACAGATCCTTGCGGGACTCCCATGCATACTTGCTCTTTGTGTATGGTACCATCTTCAATCATGTATTCAATATACCTATTGCTTAGATAACTAGTTATTATTCTCCTTATATATCTAGGAAAATTCTTCTTAAGTAGTGTATATTTAATTTTAGACCATGGAAGACTGTTGAAAGCATTTTTAATATCAAGGTTAATGCCTACAACGACGCCGCCATTCGCGATCTCTTCCTCTATAGCTCCAGTCACTTTTTTAAGTGCATCAATGGTTGAATGGTTTGGTCGGAACCCAAATTGATTCGCGGACAGTTTTCCTTCATTGTGCCTTAGCCACTCTTGTATTCTTAGCATAATAACTTTTTCCAAAATTTTGCTTATTTCATCCAATAGGCAAATAGGTCTAACCTTAGGGATACCATCCTCATTATCTTGTCCTTTTGGTATTAGTACAAGTTTGGCGACTTTCCACTGATCCGGGAATATGCCACTCTTCAGGCATTTCGTCATCAACTCTGCAACCGTACTTCTAAAGGAGTCAGGAATCCTTTTCCATGCCACGTGTGCAATTCCATCAGGACCAGGCGCAACATTGTTATTGCTTTTATTCTTGTTAACTACTCGATAAATCTCCAGTGAGGTGACATTCCACTCGTCCTTCCATTCCAGCGTGACGGGTACACTAGTGCGGATTTCATCTCTAGGGAACAGATCGCTTATTACTCTGTCCAATGTGACTGCGTCCCAGGGTCGCTGTCAAACCCAAAGCGGAATTCCTCAGCTTCCCCATTACAAGTTTATATGGAAGACTCCATTGGTCCTTGTCGATCTCGGCAATTAGTGAATTCCATGCCTCCTCTTTGGCTTTGTAAATAGCATTTGTAAATATATCTCTTTTAGTCTTATAGTCTTTCTCTGTCAACTCTTTTTCCGTCTCTCTATTTCTTTTTTTCTTAGCCTTGCCTTTAGCCTTCGTCCATATTCGTCTAGCTCGTATACAATCCTTACGTAGCTCTTGTAGAGCAGGGCTCCATCAATATGCCTGTTTCCCCCTTTCAGGGTGTTTAATCCGATTAGTGGCCATGTCCGCAGCATCAGATATCATAGATACAATCTTATTTGCATCATCGTTAGGATCGTCCTCTTCTTGGAACTTCCAAGTTGTGTTGCTCAGCTCAAGGACTTCGACAAACATATCAGTGTCCATTTTACGCCAGCTCCAACGTGGATATTTATTACGCATGGTGGATTGAGCCTCTTTTTTCTTTGTATATAGTAAGCTACTTTTTCCTATTTGTATCTGTATATATCTATGGTCCGACAGCATCAGGGACTCAACATCTACAGTCCATCTTGCTATCAGATTAACCATACTGGGAGTAGCCCAAGTGAGATCGATTACAGACTCTCCTTGCGATCTGACACAGGTAGGTGTAGTACCTGTGTTAACTAACACCAATCCATGCGTGACAGCCCACTCTTCAACCAATTCTCCTTTAGCATCCGTAGTACTGGAGCCCCAGTATTCGGATTTAGAGTTGAAGTCTCCACCTATTAGTACCTTACAGCACCTCAACCGTCTAATATCCGTTCCAATTCGTCAAGGAATTGGTTATATTCTACCAACGTGCTATTAGGAGAAATATAACAGGATACCAAATAGACATCGTTATATTGTATTATGACATACTCAGTACCCTGCTTATCCAATTTACATTGATACTCCAGATCTTTAGATTTCCAGCATATTGCAGCCTTTCCGTTCCTTGAGCCTTGCCAATCAACAACAGGAATACAAACCGGTTCCGATATTAAGGCAAATAATATGTCTTTCCAGCATATGTTGGTGCAACAAGTTAGGAGCACCCCATGCATGGTTTAGGTTGCATTGAGTGATATTAAATCGCATCCTCTATTTTCATATTTTCCGGCCTCCGACCCGGCATTCCAATCGCTTTTCTTCTCTCTGTCAACTTGATGCGTGGCAGCGGTTTGCCACTTGTTGTCGATTGCTCCATGCTGCAACCTTTAGCACCCACTCGGTGTCTATGAGGCAGCTTTTGATCTCTACATATTGCACAGCTGGGAACTTCCGCGCAACAATTCTTGATCGAGTGACCTTCCATGCCACATTAGTAGCACATTCTATGTCTATCGATTTTGGACGTGCACGAGAATTTAACGTGTCCGTACGCCCAACATTTATAACATTGAAGAGGCCTTTTTCGGAGGAGTTCCGTCCGAGCTATAGTCCATCCTAGCTTCAGATTTCCTTCTTGAGTAATTTGATTGCCGCAGCCGCAGGGCATTGAATCCATACAGATCCAAGTCCATTATACATCCATCGTATTGCGCTTATTCTAATCTCTTCCAGAGTACGATTTGTCTTTTCCGCGATGGTATTGCGGATTTCCTCTGTAGTTACCGAGTCGTCGAATCCAAATACACGTATTTCCGCTTTAATAGAGGAACGTGTAACGTTTACATCGTCATCTTTTAAGACTTCTTTTAATTTCGATGCTAGCCGGTCCGCACTATTTTGTCCTTCTGGACCAGGGATCTCTATTATTACCGCACCGTCAATTCCCTTTTTAATTCTAGTGTTTTCTACTCCAATCTCACTTAAAGATATTTCAGAACGAGCCTTCCTGAGGATGTCAGCGTACGAGGCATTTTCATTTCTTCCTCTTATTGCAACTGCTGCTGTTTTAGGCAGCTTCCTAGGGCGCGGTTTACCCCCAGTGATTCTGGTTCCTCCTTTGTCAGGGTGTACCGTGTCTTTCTTCCGACTTTGGCTCGTGTCCTTTCCTCTTTTCTGTTTCTTTTTCTCTTTTCTATTAACTGTAGTCCATTCTTCTGACTTTGTATCCACTATTGCATGTTTGTCTTTCTCTTTCACTTTATTCGCTGACTTTTCCATATCTTCTTTCCTAGCTAAATCCGTTTGCCTGGGCGGGACAAGCTGTATATTACTGATAACCTTAACTTTCGGAACAGTTTCTTTTCTTTCTTTATGTAATTCTTTTTTCCTCAAACTAAGTTGTTTTATTTGTTTTTTAATATTTTCAATTTCCTTTTCATTTCCTGATATTAGTTTCTTTTCTCTTTCTTTTTTAGGTGCGGCCACCGGACCAGGACCAGGACCATGGACAGGACCAGGAGAACCAGGACCAGGACCCGGATCAATACCAGGACCAGGACCAGGAATACCCATACTTCCATCATCGACAGGCTCACCAAGACCTCTACTACTACTCCGCAGGCAGATAGGTGCGTCTTTTCCAGGTAAGTTATTAGTGAGGGTAGCTTCACCAATAAGTAACCTTCTTTCTCCCTTTATCGCAGGCCTAAACGCTCGATATGTGGTCAGGTAATACTTACTATCCTTCTTATACTCTTCTAGATTAAAGTCTTTTCCTCTACTAAATTGATGAACCATGAGTTCCAATTCATCTATTCTTTTGTACAAAGTTTCCACTTCTCTTTCCAAATTTCTCCTCTCTTCCTTCCATTTGTTTTCTTCTTGCTCTTTAGCTTTAAGTCTCCCACTAGCTTCTCTTAACTTCATCTTATATAAAATAGGATCACCAGTTGATCCTCCTTTGTCAACCAGACATTGTATCAGTTCCTCCAGCCATGATACTCTGTCTTTAAACACTTTATGCACCGAGCCTTTCATATTTGAACATTTCTTCCGGGAAATGTCTATGTCGTGTAGCCAAGTAAAGGCTGTTTGGGCTAGTTCCTCGAAAGTTTTTGCTTTAAGCGTATCTCCAGATCCTTGAGAAGGGAGTTAATTGCGAAGTTGCTTTCCCAGACAGTGTGGTAAGCTGTTCTTCCTCATCACTGTCTAGTATTGCAATTGCATCGTTCTCTTTAGAACGTTTCTCCGCTTGAGTGATGTTGGAAGCAGCACGTTTCCTCTTAGTAGCCTTAGCCATGGTTCTATTTGAGGATCCTGAAGCCATAGAGGTTACTGATACCAGCGACCGGGCTTCATTTCCACTAGAATCCATTTCTCCTTGAGCATCGATTCTGCTTGACTTTGCCGAGCTTATAGAGACTAAGCTCTCCTGGCTCAACGCTCGATTTAGGCCTCGATTAGTTGGCCTAATTTCTACTTCCATTGCTTCATCCTCGACGATCTTAGTCCAAGATGTTGACACATCCAATTCCACGGTGGGCTTTCTGCTTCTTAACTTCCTTTGCTGTAATGGAACTTCTTCCTCATCGCCAGCACGGAGAATCATATCAGCTGGTGAGGATCTTCCATCAATCTTCTCCGCATTCTTCTCAAGAGCGGCGGTAACCACATTCTCCACCGATCCCGTCGTCAAATCGGTGGTCGGCCCTTCGTCGGATGTCGACCCAAGGGGAGCAGGGTCCACACTCCCCCAGTGCCGTCCGCTGTGGGTTCCGACGCCCACTGCGGCCGTAATCGTTTTCCCTTTTTCTTCGTGCTCCATGGTTCTTCAGAAGTGGTTGTTGGTAGAGGGGAACCACCTCGAAGTATTAAAGGGGGACTAGAGGAGATCAGGGATAAGAGGAAGGAGGGACATGCGCCAGACGCGCCACACACACATACACATTCACACACCAGGAGTTG